AATTTGAACCCAAACTAGGCTGGTAGTTCCAACAAAAAGCAGAGAATGAGATGTTGGGGTAGGGTTGGCACAGTTATATACTAACACATTGAGTGGACGATATTAGAAGAATCCTGTTTCCAGGGATGGAACATCATGTCCTATATTAGCAAAGTCAGATGCCCAAACAGGATCCAAAGCACACTTGTGCACCTCTTCATCAAATTCAGTTTGTAACACAGAATGTTTGTGTGTCTTCACACATCATTTTTTTTCTGCTGCACAGAGGAGAAAACAAACACCTCACAATTCCCCTGTCTAAATTCTTTGGATTCTTGCTCATATTAATCAACATTTTTGTAGATTGGATTAATTAGGCCTGTATGTGTGGAAAGGCAGGTGGGAAGCAAACCTGTTCTCCAAAAGTTTTATTTCTGTAATTTATATTTTTGTTTTGTATGTTTTTCTCTCGATTCCACTAAATCCTGATGACGTCTGTTCTTCTATTTTCTCTGTATTTTTACTGAGGAGTTTTTATCTCCCCCTAATCCCACCATTTCTATCAGGACATAATCTCTTTCTCAAATTTACATTTTAATTACAAGGCCAGCTGAACGAGCTAAAATCAATAAAGTCAGCATTCTGCCGTCTAACTTCCAGCAGAAAGCCTAACCTCTCTCTTTCCTCCTATTGATTTATCTCTTTAACACTGTCTACTTTATTGCTTCAGGCAAATAGGTGCCATTTGGTCAATTTAAACAAAAGGAGGGGCAAAGGGGGAATTTGGACTTTATTTTTTCCTGAACGAAAGTATTAGATGAAATATCAACCAAGGCATTGTAGTGGTATGATGGACAGATGAAAATAGGTAAAGGATAGCTTTAAAGTCTTGAATTGCTTCTGGTATAAAAAGGCCTTCTGCATAAGAGTTGTAATTTAGGAGGCATTTCTCTTAATGTGAAATGTTAACTCACATAACCTAATGTGAGTTTATAGATAATTATTAAAATGAATAGCTTTGTATTTACTGCAAAGCTTTAACTCACTTTTTTCTTTTTATTTCCCAAAATTTACCTAGTTGATTTATCATTTTTATATTTGTATGTATCTGACATTATTTTACCAGAATTACAGAAATATTTTGTATTGTTTAGGAATTGGACAATTCTGAATTTACAGTTATTTTACTGCAGTTTCTGTGTACAGTAGGAAAATGAGGCCCATGTGATTAAAATACGATTTCTACTATTACACCCACGTTAACCTATTTCATTTTGTTTTTGGTTTAGCTTTATAATTGCTCATGAATCTGTCCAATATTGGTAATCTTAAGATTCCTGCATTTCTACTTTCATACTTTTTGAGTAGATTGTTTGAAACATTCACTTCAAGTCTGTATGAGCCAAACTGTAAGACAGAAGTTTAGATGGAGATCTTAGGAGCAATATTATGCCACCAAGAACTGTTTGATAGAATCCGTAGACTCTAATTTGTTTGCAGCTTTTACGTAGAGGTTGGATGGCCTCTTCTCAAGTGCATGTAGTCAGGTAAATAGAGGGGTAGATTCCAGGTAAATAGAGAGCATTTTTTCCAGAACTATTAAGGATTAAGTTGTGCTGTGATAAAACACTGGATTATGATTCAGGATGCTTTTCTCATTCTACCATTTAATCAGAACATAGTTTGCCAGTTTTCATTCAAACCTTCAAAGCAAGGAAAGTTGGGGGTTGGGGAGATACAGAAAAGGGAGAAAGATTGTTTTATATATTTTGGATATATAATTTTTTATTGGTTTCTGAATTTAGACTGGAGAAATCCTATTTTTATGCAAAGTAGAACAAAAGAATACTAGGAATATTTTTCACAAATAAACTAGATTGATGTTATCAGCTATTTTATTTATTGAAATGTTGTAGGCTGTTTTTAGGGGGGAAAGCTTTCCAAAGCAGCTTACAAAAATAAAATCATGTAATCATCATCATCATCACCATCATCATCAGCGGCTGATAAATCCTGGATACCAAACCATTCTGCTGCATTTTTGGTGCTGGCTGCCCTCAAAGGAGGACAAATGGAATTGCTTCTGGACCAGAAAGGATGATGTGGATAAAAACGGTCTATCAAATCTTGAACATTAAAAGCGTGAGATGTCCAGACCAGCACATTGAAAAAGAGCTTGGACATGCCTTAGTAACTAGTATAATGGGTCAACATTATATCATATTCAGGCTACCTTGGTCCATCAATAGTTAGATAGCTCAAGTTTATGGACCATCTTCAAAGGCAGTCCTGTATAGACTGTATTACAGTAGTTAGACTGTATGTCACTAGTGCATGGAAAACTAAAATCAGATTAGCATTTCCAGATGTGTCTGTACATGCCGCACTAGCCTGAGCTAGTCAAAGGTACTTCAGTATTCAAGGCCACTATAGCCACCCGAGTTTTAATTAATGTAGAATCCAGCTGATGTCCTGAATAGTACTCTTGGTTTTTCAGGAAGATTGCAACCCTATTTAAGATTCCTGTGTCTCAAAACAGTTTCCAGGTATTAGTTATAATATTCCACTATTTCCCTGGGACAGGCAGATGGGAATGAGGGGTAAAGCTGGATGTGATCTGCATACTGATGGTACCTCAGCGCAGGTCTCTAGTTAATTTCCCTGAGCACTATCATTACATGTTAAAAAGCATGGTAGGACATGATGGAACCAGTATTGTCCCTTGAAACAATCTCTTCACGAAAGACCTGATGTTCCATAACTTTGTGCTTTCCCATGTTACATGGTACAAAAGCCCCACAGCAATCAAGAAGACCAATATCATTTCCATCCCATAACCAAGTTTGAAAACATATTGAAATGGATCTGAATAATGAATTTCATCCAACACTGAAAGGCCACCCATTGCTCCAAATGTTTGCTGCAAAATGTGATGCTAGGCAACAGGTACCAAAGTGTGGGATCTTCAGTAGAGCTGAAGATGCTGAAGTAGAGCTACTTCATTAGCTCTCAAGAAGATGCTTATCATCCCTAAGACCCATGTTCAGAATGGTAGCCATGAAATCCTGAATTACCTCTGCAAAGTTGTCTCAGTATCACATTAAAGTCCCTTTAAAGAAAGAGCCTTGGACCTTTTGACAATGCGTTTGAGATTAAAGCACCTCCAGAGAGACTGTTAAGCAATGGATTGTCTCTGGATCTCCAGTACCAGATACAGATATTGACTAATGGATGTCAGGTTCGGTCAGCACGGGGCTTCGGGGAAGCTCGCAGCCAGACCACGTGAACTCCACCGGCGGCAGCTAGCG